CGAAGGAGGCGGGGGACAAGAGGGAGAGGGCCCTGCTCGACTACTTGCGTGCGCGCGTGGCGGCGGCGAGCGACGACGCGGCGCTCACGTTCGAGTACTTGGGCGCCTGCTGCGCCGCGGGGCAGGTCGACGAGCTCGAGAGAGCGACGCGCGACCTGCACACTGCCACGTAGTAACAACAACAACAACAATAGGTCGACGAGCTCGAGAGAGTGACGCGCGACCGCAGCATAGCCTACGACGCGGTGCAGGCTTGCACGCTCTTGCGCGAGGCAGGCGGGGCGGCGGGCAAGGACCCGCGCCCCCTCATCAACGTCTGCGACCGGCACAACTTGTTTGGTGAGCTCGCGACGGCGCTGCTCGCGCGGTGCTTCGCCGCCGCGACTCGTCCTCCTCCCTCCCGCCGCGTGCCGCGCTCAGCCGGAGGGAGTCGTGTCTGCAGGCGGCAGCTGAGGCACCTGATGCTGTACGTGCGGAGCGTCAACCGAGCCGCGTCGGCGCCGGTCTGCGCCGCGCTGCTTGAGGCCGGGTGCGAGGCGGCCAGGGTGGCAGAGGTGGTCTCCCCGCTGCACGCGCCGAGCGCTCCCGCGGTGCTCGGGTCGATGCTCGACGCAGAGTGCCAGGCTGACGTCGTCGCTTCGCTGCTCGAGCCGCTCGACGGTGCAGAGAGAGGGAGAGGGAGAGGGAGAGGGGGAGAGGGGGGGGGGGGGGAGAGCCGAGGGGGAGGGGGAGCTGAGCCGAGAGAGAGCCGAGAGAGAGCCGAGAGAGAGCCGAGAGACGGGTGACCGAGAGACGAGCCGTTCACCCATTTCCATGCGCGCCGAGCCTCCCCTCCTCCGAACTTCTCCCTCGCGCCGTCGGCGGTCTCGCGCTTGCTTTCGCCTCAGCCACGCCGCCTCTCGCGCCAGGCACGCACCTCGCGCAGGACGACTCGCTCGCGGCGTCGCTGATCGAGGCGGCGGCGGGCCGCAACAAGCTGCCGCTGCTGAAGCCGTGGCTCGACGCGCGCAAGGCCGAGGGGCTGCCTCCCGGCGCGCCAAACAGCGAGGCGATCGAGGGCGCGATCAAGCAGATCAAAAAGTGGTGGTGATGCGCCGTGTGTGCGGTGGAGGCGCATAGGGGGGGGGGGGGGCTGCTGGATGGTGTGAGATGCCGGTACGCTGCGGAGGAGCTGCCAGAGGGGTGAGCTGGTCTCAGCCTCAGGGGGCCGTCGTGGGGCACATCATGGCCCGGGAGCTTACGAGTGTCTTCGTCCCGCTGTGTGCCCCGCTGTGCGGTATGGAGTGTATGCGTGTATAAAGGTTTTAATAAGCCGATAGAGGTGTATAGAGCAGTCGGAGTCCGGGGGCAGCCGGCGATGCGGGTCTCACGGGTCAGCGGTCAGCGCGCGCGAGAGCGGTGTCGCAAGCCATGCACCGACAGACCAGACACACGCCAAAAACTCCGAACACCGAAATCGCCATGTCATTTTCTCCAGGCACTTTTGTTGCCATAGCTTTGTGCACTGCTCGACCGCCTATCCCGGCGTGCTAGAACCCAATATCATCTAGACCTCGCCTCCTCTGTTCTCGGGCCGCAGAATGCTGTCCAGTGGCATCCCGTGCTCGTCCAACCCGCTGCCGGTGCCGTGCTGCCGCTGCTGCGCCCTCGCCACCGTGGTTGACGACCGGATTTTTTTCTGGCCCGGCCGGCGGTACTCGCCGGGCAGCAGAGGGCCAGCCTCGCGCACAAAGCCCCGCGACGCGCCCTCTGGCGCCGCCCGCTCGCGCTTCTTGCCGGAGGACGGCCTTGCAAACAGAGACGGGTCGAGCGTGCTCAGCCGCCAGTGCGGCACTCCCCGCGCCTTCCACAGGCGCGCGGCTCGCTCCTCGGGCGTGCCGCCGCACTTCATCCCCCGCCGCTGCAGCTCCGCCTTGAGCACGTCGAGGTCCGCACTGCAGAGCGCCGCCTCGCTCTCGAACGCCATCAAGTCCAGCGGCGCGGCAGCAGCGGCGGCGCCCGCAGACCGCCGGAAGGCCGGCTCGCCGGCCGAGGTGGTGGCGCGAAGCCCAGCAAAGTCGCCCAGTGGTGGCGCTGCCGCCGCGCCCGAAGCGCCGGCGGGAGCGCTGTCGTCGCTCGCGGTTGGAGCAGCTCTGCCCATGCTCGATCCGGCGGCCCCGCCCTCAAGGGATGCCATCGCATCGACGCCGGCGTCGCCGCGTCCGGGCGCGCGTCCCGCTGCCTCCGCCTGGGGCAGGCCGAGGAGTCTGGCGGCCATATTTCGGAATCACAAGCCCTGCTGCGGGCGGTGGGGCGGCGAGGCGGCGGCGCGTGGGGAATTTCTTTTTGTGATGAGGTTATTGTAGTTTTTTCCTCGCCCTTGTTGTCTCCCGCCCCCGCTCTGGTCCGGCCTCAATCTGCCCTCTAGCGCAGAGGGACAATGTTCTCCGCCGCTGATAGCTGGGAGCTCGAGAGCTCCACGGCCGCGCCCCTCCTCATTTCCGAGCCGCAGGACTTTGTCCTCGGCCGGAACGCAGACTGCCTGAAGCTCCTCCCCGCACTCGACCAACGAGTGTCCGACGAGGGCAAGTCCGTTTCGCGCCGGCAAGCGACACTGCGCCTTGCTGCCGACGCGAGCGAGCTCATACTGACTTCGCAGAGCAAGAGCAACCGCACTGGCGTGCGGCGCGGAGCCTCCTCCGAGTGGAACTGGCTGCGACAGAATGAGAGCTGCGTCGTCTCCGATGGCGACGCAATCGCCCTGGCAGAGCCGAAGAGCTCCGCCTCCGCTCCGACTCTGATCCTCACCCTCCGCAACGTGCTCGCGGCTGCGACGCAAGTGTACTCGGACAACCCGGACGCGTCGCCCGAACGGGCGGCAGCACCCTCGCCAAAGCGCCAGCGCCAGAGCTGCTCTGGCGTCGGCCGCAATGCCGGCGATGGCGGCGGCAGCGGCGGCGGCGGCGGCGGCGGCGGAGGTGGTGGTGGCGG